TCACAGTGGAGAGAGACCTTATGAATGTAAGGAATGTGGGAAAGCCTTTAGGTACCTCTCAGACCTCACTATACATACAAGGACTCACAGTGAGGAGAGACCTTATGAATGTAAGGAATGTGGGAAAGTCTTTAGGTACCCCTCATCCCTCACTAGACATACAAAGATTCACAGTGGAGAGAGACCTTATGAATGTAAAGAATGTGGGAAAGCCTTTAGGTACTTCTCAGACCTCACTATACATACAAGAATTCACAGTGGAGAGAGACCTTATGAATGTAAGGAATGTGGGAAAGCCTTGAGGTACCTCTCAGACCTCACTATACATACAAGGACTCACAGTGGAGAGAGACCTTACGAATGTAAGGAATGTGGGAAAGCTTTTATATGTTCTTCACACCTTACTGAACATAAAAGAATTCACAGTGGAGAGAGACCTTATGAATGTAAGGAATGTGGGAAAGCCTTTAGGAATCTCTCAACCCTTACTAGACATACAAGGACACACAGTGGAGAGAGACCTTATGAATGTAAAGAATGTGGGAAAGCCTTTAGATGCCTCACAACCCTCACTAGACACACAAGGACACACAGTGGAGAGAGACTTTATGAATCTAAGGAATGTGGGAGAGCCTTTAGGCAGCTCTCAGACCTCACTACACACTTAAGAACTCACAGTGGAGAGAAGTCTTATGAATGTGAGGAATGTGGGAAAGCCTTTACACAGCTCTCAGTCATCACATACAAGGATTCACAATGGAGAGAAACTTTATGAATACAAGGAATGTGGAGAAGCCTTAGCTCAGCGTTTATACCTTACAAGACATAGAAGAACTCACACTGAAGAGAGACCTTATGAAACGAAGTACTGTGGGAATGTCTTTAATCAGGCTTCATTCCTCTAAACATGCAAGAAGAACTCACAATGGAGTGAGATTTTAGGAGTAAGGAATGTGGGAAAACCTTCAGGGGTTCCGCACGTCACTACACATACAAGATGCGGCCTCAGTGGAGAGGCCATCAACAGTGAGATGTTTCCTCTTTACTGCTGTACTATTAACCAGCAAGTTTCCATAAGTCTGATTAAAGAACAAAATAGAAAATACCACAGTGAATCAGCAATACTCACTCATACAAGGGGCCGGCCAGTAGAAGTACTTTCTGCCTTTGGGAGAAATGAACATTTCAGTGTAATAGTGAGGTTGTCAGCATCAGTGTTTAAGTTCTTAGTCCAAGATCAATTTCACCTTTCTCAAAGTCTGGCTATTAATAAGTAAGGCTGCAGGGAATAGCCTTGGGCAAATGTGGTATTATATTTTTTTTTTAATATTTTGTTGGTGGTGTTTTACATACAATAAAATAACTGATGTCATATTTGGTATAAGAATATTTTGTTTGCTTCCTTATTTGTTGCATTTACCTCCATTTTTTCTGTTGTAAGTTAACTATTTTGCCTTTTATCAAATTGTTTGATAATTTGAGATTCTGCAAATATTGCCTTTTTCATTGTACTTTGGCCTACTAAGTTTAATAACTATACATTGCCTATGATTATTATTATGTGGTGTTGAGCAAATGGTATTTCCTGTTCTAATAATTTCTTCTATGTTTTTTTTTATTTTAAATTCTTTAAGAAATCATTTTCCCTACTCTTTATTAAATTATTTATACCAGGATAGGCTAAATGTATCTAAAATTTCATTATTGTAAGCTCCCTTTAGTTGTTCTTAGGTGCCATCCAGTCAGTAATGAGTCATACTGACCCTTTGTACATCAGGACAAAAAACTGCCCTGTCCTATGCCATCCTTAACATTTTTTCTATGTTTGAGTCTACATTCCAGGCACTGTATCACTCCGTCTTGTTGAGGGTCTTCCTCTTTTTTAGTGGTTTTCTACTTAGCATAATATCCTACTCCAGGGTCTAGTCCCTACTGATTAAATTGGACGTAACTATCTATAATTATAGCTTTATTGCTCACCCAACATACAAGCAGATGTGATCTGCCTTCCAGTTGATTCTAAGTCATACCAACCATACACAACAGAGTAGAACTGCACCATGTTGTTGTTGTTATATGCCATCGAGTCAAACCCGACTCATAGCGACCCCTCCTTGGGTTTCCGAGGCAGTAACACTACGGAAGTAGGATTGCCCAACCTTCCTTCCACTCCCCGGAGCTCTGGTAGCATAGTGGCTAAGGCACTTGACTGCTAACCAGAAGGCTGGCAGTTCAAACCCACCAGCCACTCCTCAGAAGGAAGGTTGGGCAATCCTACTTCCGTAGTGTTACTGCCTCGGAAACCCAAGGAGGGGTCGCTATGAGTCGGGTTTGACTCAACGGCACATAACAACAACAACAACATGGTGCAGTTCTACTCTGTTGTGTATGGTTGGTATGTCTTAGAATCAACTGGAAGGCAGATCACATCTGCTTGTATGTTGGGCCATAGGGTTTTCGAAGCTGTAATCTTTTAAGAAGCACTTTGCCACATCTTTCTCCCACAGAGCATCTTGTGGGTTTGAACCACTGACATTTTGGTTACCAATGGAAGTCCTAACCACTGTACACAAAAGCTCCTTCAGATACATAGATAAGTACATATCTTAATCTACATGTATAAATTTGTCAGGTGAAGAAATCTACCAAACTTGATCTGTTTGGGGAGAGAAAACGTGTCTCTATGGAAAGAATCAAAATTGAAGGAAATGAAATGTCCCAATCTTTAAAATACAGGTTTTCCCTTTAAAAACAATAGTACCTGCAAGACTTATTTGGAAATTAATTCAGGGACAAATAGGTAAGACTTTTTTAATACAAAAGAAGAATATAATGAGAACGTCTGGCAGTGGTGCTGTGCTGCCATGGCGGGCCCTGGCCAGCAGCAGCATTGAGTCATTTCTCAAGTGATAGTGGAGGGAGAGTAGAAGTCTCCTGGTGAGTTGCTGTCCTGTGGCAGCTAAGTTCTTCTGGGTCCTCTTGCTGGCACAAATGCACCTCTCCCCACACCTGCACTGTTGTCTTCCCCTGGATGTGTGCTTTGTCCTTCCTGACCTCTGCCATGGGTCCTCCAGGCCAGTCTGCCTCACTTTTCACTGGCTGTGTTCCCAGAGTTATAGAGACTCAGATCTGTGCTGTACTACTAGTCCCAATCTACTCTTTGTCCACTTCTTGCTCCTTCCAGGACTGTGTCAGTCTGAATCCTCTCTTGGCTCCCACCCTAGGCTTTTGGTCAAGTAAGAAGAAACCTGCCACCTCTGACAATCTCAAAATGACATAGAGTTGTTCAGCAAGTAGGGATGTGCACAGTGTACAAATGCCTACCTTCCTGTGGTCCCTGCTTCACCCGCCCACTCTTGTGGTGCTCAGATTGGTTGTCCGGTCCATCATTTGTTGTCCAGAGTTCTGAGTTGGCTGGCTGTACCTCCTTGTTCTTTGTCATTATTGTGGGGGATCATGAGAGTGCTATTATGTCTGCTGCCATCTTGTCCTTCCTCCTCCTGATGTCTGGTTTGAATGCTCCAGACACTTTCTAGAAGAAATGGAAGGATGAAGGGAAGAAAGACTTACTCTTCACAAAGTGTTTTCGTACTACAGGTTTCCTCAGGACCAGTCATTTGGTGGGTATATCCTGAGTAAGCACTTTTATATATTTTAACATGACAAGTTGTCCACTGCATACACACGTAGGATAGTCACATTCTTTTCTAATGAGAAAGTCTACTGAAGAAATACCGTCCATTCCGGACAGTGATGAGAGCAGGGCTCAGCAAATATTTGTAATGGGCTAGATGGCAGACATGTTAAGCTTTGCAGGCCATGTGCTGAAGAGCAAAGATGTCTCTTTGAAAACTAAGGTGCACCCAACCCGAGCCATGGTGTTTTCAGTCACCTCATAAGCATGTGAAAGCTGGGCAGTGAATAAGGGAGGGTGAAGAAGAGTTGATGCTTTTGAGTTGTGGTGTTGGCAAAGAATACCGAAAGTACCATGGACTGCCAGAAGAGCTAAAAAATCTTTCCTGGAAGAAGTGCAGCTGGTATGCTCCTTGGAAATAAGAATGGCCAGACTTCGTCTCACATACTTTGGTCATGTCAGAAGCATATCATGGAGAAGGATATCATTTTGGAGAGTCAGCAAAGAAGGGGAAGACCCTTAGTGAGATGGATTGACACACTGGCTGTAACAATGGGCTCAGGTATAGCAAGCATTTTGAGACTGGCACAGGACCAGGCAGTGTTTCGTTCTGTCGTACACAGGGTTGCTGTGAGTTGGAGATGACTCAACAGCACCTAACGACATCCACAGGTCATATATTCATCTTTGCAAAGACCTAACTGTGCTGTTGTACCTCACTATCAGCTGTAGACAACACATAAATGGTCATTGCTCAGTTTAAGCAGTGAGCACCTCTCTGTGAGGCAGCCTGCACATTCCTTACAGCACCAGATACTGGCTGGCCTGAGGCCACTTCCCACATTCCTCAAGATAATATGTAAGAGCTGAGCCTTTTAAATAACAAGGAAAATTAAATAAATGAGAAGCCTGCAAAAGGTATCTTGAGATAAGAACTGGCCAGAAGCGGTCACAGTTTCCTCTGCTTAGCCATGCGGGTGCAGTGTGGAAAACCTTCAGCTGAATGACCTTATGACGTCACACACCCCTTGGTGGCCATGACACTACCCCCACTACACCCCCATCATGTTAATGAGCCTACTGTATAGTCACTGTGTTGCTGGAAAGCCCATGAATGATCGTAACTTACCTACTCCATGTCCTATTTCAGCCCTGAAGTCCCCAGCCTGGGGGAGCTTGATCTGAGGCAGTCCTCCAGGTTCCTTGTTTGTGCACCTACAATAAAGCACTTTGCTCTCCTCACTCTGATGTTCTACTTGTTGGCTTGAGAGCCAAACTGGGCAGGACCCTCTGGCAGAAATTGTCTGCAAAAAATTGACCACAAAGTGTCCCTGACTGATGCCCGGTTCCAGGGACTGAGATGCTGGCTGGGGGGGGGGGGGGTGCCTGCATCTCTCAGTGCCTCCAGGCTCTTTTGTTCCAGGATAGATACCTTTGGCCCCAATGGCTGGCACTCATCCTGGACCTAATGGTGACAGACTGTGAGGCAAGCTGACAGGAAGAGGGAGATGGCTCCCTGGTGAGGACAGTTTAAATCCTATTTTCCTGGCAGACCAGCGGCATCCGAGACCCAGTAATGTGTAGCCAGTGAGGATGGAGAAAAGGAATGGTATTTGCTAAAGTAGGTGTCTGTACATGTTGGTACTGTGGGTAATTGTTAAAGTACTTTAGGTTGTATGGCTCCAAAGTGCATTTTAAAGAACCGGTCTTACTTTTGGGGGTATGACCCAATGAGTATTAGCTGAGATCAGTAGTGGTTAGCACACAGGTAGCAATAGCCTGTGAAACTAATCTAGTGATGAGTAATCAGGCTAACCAAATTCCGGATTACAGTCTCCAAAGGTGTATTTTGGAAACTTGGCCTTGTTTTGAATCCGGGCCTATGAAAATTAAAGTGCAGTGTTTTGTGCAATGCCACTTGGCCCCAGTATGCTTTAGGAGATAGTGAACAGTAGCCCGAGACTGGCTCACTGAACTGTAATTCAATGATGCAACCCAATTTGTTTTGTTCATGGGAAAAGAAATGGAATGAGAAAATGTATGTGGAAGAATTTATGACTTTGTGGGGGAAAAAAAAAAAAAAAAGGAATTTCCAGGAAGAATGTAAGATTTTCCTCTGTTGTTGTTGTTGTTGTTGTTAGGTGCCATCGAGTTGTCTCCGACTCATAGTGACCCCATGCACAGCAGAAAAAAATAACGCCTGGTCCCACACCAGCTCCACGATCCCCACTATACCTGAGCCCATTGCTACAGCCACTATATCAATCCATC